TGTCAAACCTTGTTCGTTTGAACCAAACTGTAATCAGAAAGCGCAATTCCAGCTAGCCATTTGTCTGGAATGGCATCTCTTGAGACTACGAAAGGAGTTAGTATTGGCCTTAAGTATTAGCAAAAAATATAGCAAATTGAAATTACGTTGTTTTGCTTCTTTTTCGTGCTTTTTTGTGTTTGTTTTTTGGGTCGGAAAGGGACGTCTGCAATCAGAAGGGGTTCTGGGAAGTGCCAAACAACTATGCAGAAAAGTATGTTCAATCCTTCTGGGTGCCTTTTCAGCAGTATTGCCTGGCAGTCGGCTGGAAAACATCGGGCGTCTCTAATCAGAGGGGGTTTATGAATCATGTGCCGACCTTACCTTCCAAAGAAAATTCGCATCAGCTCCGCCATCATGACGTGCTCGTGTTCCTGCGCAGCCGCTTCGCGGTGGTTCTGTTGGCGGGGAAAGCCGGAGTGAGGCTTCCCAAAAGGTCCCACTCGCAACAGCGGGACCTGAGGTCCCACCTTGAACCTCGGAGGACAGGTCCAGGCGATGCCGTGCCAGGTTCCAGGGCGTTTTTTAGCGGTAGCTTATGGGAACGGTCTTCTCTAGGACTGCCAAAATAGGTTTAGAAAGGAAAGGGGACCAGAGCGAGAAGAAGGGCTCGGCCAAGCTCTTCAAACATTTTTACATCTCCTGTTGGCCGGAAGTTGTTTCAACAGATACAGAGAGTATGCGCGAGAGTCCGCAGGCTGGGGCGGAATGGACCCCGGTGAGAAGGCCAAGATGAAGACGATGGCCCGAAGCCCAGTACCCTGAAGAAAGACAGCCCCCATTTCCAGTGGGTTGCCCTTCCAGACATCCAGCTGCTTTCCTTTCGTGATTGTTTGGAGGGGAGGGAACAACTTTAACGTGACTTGCTCAACAAAAGGGCGCCAATTTTTCTACTGGAAATCCGCTGAAGGTCCGTGTGGAGGTTGCAGTCACGTTGTTTTTTGCTGCGTAGCCTCTTCCGGACATGGCTGGACATAAATCCGCATGTGAAGCATTTCAACCAAAAGGGTCCCTAGTTAAGATTCGCGCGTGTATGGCTGGCTGTGCATCAGGGAAGGTCAGCGCATGGGAGGGCTCAGCTGGTTTTGATGCACATCCACATTGTTCTCAATTGGACACCACCATTTTTAGGGTCCCGCGACTTGAACTTGAGCAACGCTCGTATTTCTCTTGGTATTATTTTGAGCTTTACCTCATTGCCAGCACAAGTGAGTTGCCCTCGACAGTGCCTGATTACCCTTGTGACACTTTTCGCCCTTACCTTTTGACCCCCAGTCTGTCAGTTTCAACTTCCTTGCCGTCTCACCAAGGTCAAGGAGGCTCAGGAACGGGAGCAGGTGGCACGCAAGGACCGGTTGTGCGACGGGCTGACACCTTGAGAGCCGGAGTTCTCAAGATGACCCAATGGCGCCAGTTGGGATGGCATGAAGCCCTACTGCGGATGGACGAAATCCTGCACCACTTTGAAACCATGGTTGAAATCATTGTTTGTTGGTATTCACAGGGGAAGAATCATTTTTAGGTTTCTTAGGCAGTGCTGGATTTCGTTCATCTACCGTATGAACACTGGGGAAACTGCCTAAGTGGTGCAAGACGTTGCCCATAGGCTCATCAGAAGGTTGCACCAAGGCTTTTTTTGGGACAGTCAGGTGACCAGGACCGACCCATTTGGTCTTTGGTTTATTCCACGTGCGCATGACTTCAAATAGCTGGTGCGGTTCTGTTTCAATCGTGGCATTTTCTGAAAAGTGCCGGTAAAAAGATGGGCCGCACCCTTTTGTGGCACGCCGGTCAACTGGGTCCAAACCCTTGCCCCTTCGACGAGTTGATTCCCCATTCTCACCCATTCTGAATAGACAGACACTGCCAATAAAATCCACTTCTTTCACCGAGATGGCCGCATAAATCCCAGTTTTCACAGGAATGGCCGCAAGAATCACATGTTTCACAGCCACCACAACTCCCCCAGTTTTCACAGGAATGGCCACAAAACATATTCTTGTTTCTCAAGAATGGCCGCAACAAATCCCAGTTTTCACAGGAATGGAGATGGAAACCACCGGCGTTTCATCCATCTGCGAGCGCCATCCATCTGCGAGGAGCTGGCAGAGGCCCGGGAGGACGAGGCCAAGGCCGCCCAGTGGGCCAAGGAGGCGAAAGATGCCTCTGCCCGGCAGCCTGGGCGCGGGATAGAGGCCACGTCTCACCTTCGCTTTTGGCCCCCTCCAAGAGCGGTTTTCCGGGTCTCCGAACGCAAAAAGGCGATGGAGACTAGGCATGAAGCAGAATCTGATCAGTTACTCGGGCATCCTATTCATTTTTTAGAATCATGCATGTATAAATATAGAGACCGGGTGTTGGGCAGCGCTAACACTACATTCCAGGGAGCACTTTTTTCTGTGTATATATATATATATACATATTGTAAACTGCAGCATGTTGTACCACTATTGTTCAAACCGCCTTGCGGTTTCCCTTCAAGGCCAAGGTGTGGTCCTGCACAACTGTGGCTGCCCTTTTAGTTTGCTGCACCCTCCAGGTTTTGAGTCACAGCCGCTTTCTGCACATTTGAGTGAGGAAAGCAAGGATGGCAGCGTTTGTACAATTTGTTCTGGTTGAATTATAACGACCTCCCACGACCTCATCCCAAATGGTGGCTTATGTGGGGAGTAGGCCCCCCAACCACCTTATTTCAGGTTGGTGAAATATTATCATTCACCCAGATTGGTTGTGTGGAGCAATATGTTGCCTCTACGGCCATCGTTACGTTTTCAATGTGTGCTGTCGTTGACAACAAAATTTAGGCCAAACGATAGCGTGCACGTTCAACGGATCCCACAAACCAGTGAACCCATGTCAGGCCACATGATAGCATGCACCTTCACCTGGGAACCAATGAGCCAATATCAGGCCAAATGGCAGCGTGCACTTTCCAGGGTAAGCCCAATATGTTGCGTCTCGAATGCGATGGGACTTGTCGATTCCAATCTTCCCCAATCATGGAAAGGACAACATGCTTGAATCATGAGTGGGTTTATGTGTACACCTGTTGGGGGGCGGGGGCGTCTTGCTGACAGCCAACTTGGTTGAGTGTTGGCAACATCCAGGCTTTAAGTGCTCACACCCTGAGCGGGTATCAGCCGCAAAGGCCAAACGATGGACATCCAAGTTGTTTGCGACAGCCATGCCCCATGGTTTGGCCATTATCAAAGTCTCTTCCAACTCTGTGCAAATTATAGCGACCTCACAAATTCGGGTTGCGATTTCATTTTTTTTAAATGGCGACCTCTTGTTGTTGATTTGTGAAGCATGATAGTTCACCTAAGTCCTGTGGATTGGTTCGCCTCCTTCGCAAGGCCAAAGCCCAGAATGGCGAGCAGTCCAAAGGCCCGGGTGTGGTTTTTCCATTGGGCTGGTGAGGGTCGGCTGCCAAGGAGTCCTGATTCCCACAAGTCCAAGGAGCAGGCTGCCAAAGAACGCAGCTACTGTTTCAGCCGCCCATAGAGACTTAGATCGCGCACGCGAAATTTGGCAAGTGGCATCGGCACCTGTGGTTTGTCAAATTGACAAAATGCCAGTGGCAACCGCTAGGCTGAGAATCATAAGATGCAAGACAGATGCTGCAGACGGACTGAACCATTCTCTTGGAGACTCAGGGTTGGGACTCTCAGCCGTTGAGAAAGTCCATCCAGAAGTGCCGCACAGGCTCAAATCGTGGACTCCCATTCAACAAATCCTCGCATTTCCAGATTTCCAAAGGCCTCTTTCTTGGGGGGATGTCTTTCTGTTCGAGTGGTTGATAAGCTCAAGCGCAAGAGCAGAAAATTGGTTCCCAGGTCTTTTCAGCCTCCCTCTTGGGACACCCGTTTTGGGGCAACTCATCTTGCAATATATCTTACACCCTGCACATAAACATAGATTAGATGCCACAATCCTTCATTTTTGGAGGAATCTTCTTTTGACCTGCAGGAGAGCAAAACAATTCCGCCCAACCCTACCTGTTAATTTGCCCTCTCACTTGGGGGTTTATGTTGACCTCGGATCAACAAACGCCTGTTTATTAATGTGGGGTGTTTTTGGTTCTACTGGGGATTCAGACCACTTTTGGAAGGAACACCCCATATGAACAAGCAGGAGTTGATGAAAATCCGTGGTCAGCAAAAAACAAACAAACAACAAAATGGCCCAACCCTACCTGTCAATTTTTGACCTATCACTTTCTAGGTCCCCCAGTAGTGACTTTTGGGGAGGGTTACTGCAGCAAAAAGGGTACCCTTATTCTGACCTCTCTGCTGGAGGACCTAGCTTCGCTCGTTTTTTTCGTTGCAGAGTGAGACCCCGGAGCTTTCGGTTTGGTGAGGCGCCAGCAGTGAACCGAGCCCGGATGCGGTGAAGCCCTTGCACAGCAGCGGCCTGAGAGTTGCTCTTTGCTCACGTGTTTGGAAGCCTTTTGGCGGCTTCCCCACCAGTCCCAGTTGCCCAGTGGTGCCCTTTTTTCAACTTTGTTTGGGGAAGGGTTTGTTTGGAAGAGGTGTCCTGTTTAGGTGAGTTTGGTTAAAAATAGATGGGTTCCGCTGGTTTAGATGGGGTTTATGCCCCATTTACCAGGGAAACTCGCACGCCAGTGTTACCCAGGTCCCAGTGTACGAGATTCGTCTTGGCTGCGAAACGTGACCGAGGCAAAGTCGTGAACATGCCAGTGCCGTCTATGTGCCGCCGCCCAGTTGGGCGAAGCAGTTGATGCTCCAAGGACTTGGACTGTGATCAGTTTGTTTTTTTTGGGGAGGCGCACGGCCATACGATGCTCGGCCTTGTTGGAGACTCCAGCGTTGTAATGTTCCTCTGGTCAAGAGGTTTGAGAGCGTTCAGGGTAGGGTCAGCCCCCAAGGGGGTCTCTTTGAGAGCTCCTTCAAGTCACCTGGTGGCTTTCGGATGTGCCGAACACACCAAAGGAATCCTAGATGAAGTCCGTTTGGTTTGGGTGAAAGCCAGGGTTGGGATTTGGGGTCACTTGCTGTACCAAGGGAAGCCGCTTCAGTCATGGGAACGACTTGTGGTATCAAAGATTCCAAGGGCGGCTGATTTTTCGCTCGGACCGGCGCAGACAAACTCTTCCATAAATAACCCTCCCAAAAGCAGACATGGAACCTGAAAGAGGCTCTCTACATAGGTTTGGGCGAGGGCATAGCTTTTCAGGAGGGGTTGTTCAAGTTTGAAGGGAGACCCCGGGAAACTCCCGCCTTGTTTGGTTTTTAGGGGGCAACCAACTTTGTGCCCAAATGACCATGGGTAACCTTTTCCATGTGGGAAATACCAAATCTGTTTAGTGGTTTCCCCCAACGGTCCTACTGTGGATGTGACAGAATCCTGCACCACTTGGAATCCATGGGAAACCATTGTTTGTTGGTATTTACAGGGGAATCGAATCCTTCCAGGCTTTCTTAGGTGGTGCGAATCGGATTTGGTCCATCCACAGTACGTAAAATGTGGGAAATACCAAATCTGTTTCGTTTGTTTCGTGGTTTCCCCACTGGTCCTATGTGTCCTATGACTCTATGACCTTTTGGTCCACGTGTTTCATTTTGTTCCACGTGCGCTGGCCGCCTCCCGCTCCAATCCAGGGGCGAAGTGGCAGCGGCGAAGAAGGCCGCGGACAAGGAGATCTCCCGGTGGATCGGATCCAATTTCCGCCGGCGTCGGGTCTGGCGAGCCGTTTGAAATTCGGAACATTAATTATATATGATCCTTTTGTGGATCTCTGTGGAGCATTGGGTTTTGGGTTTAGAACTGTTTTGTTTTTTTTGCGGGCAAATCCCTTTCAAGTGAGTTAGTCATGATGATGCCCACGTTGGACCTCTTTGGACCAAAAGACATAATGCATCCTCGATCGTCAATCTTCGATTCAGGGGCAAACCATGTTTGAATGTGAGGCCTCGAGGGCTGGTCAGGATTGGGGTTTTCAATCTTTCATCGTCGATCCAGGGGAAAAACACGAAGTCACTGAAGTCACTAAACTTTAAAATAAAGGTTGTTGTGGGCCCCTTTTTGTTGGACTCGGTCAGTGGTGAAGTTGAGCCCTTTTGGAGAGAAGCAACAGGAGTGTTCATTAACGAGGCGCAGATCCATGGGGGGGGTGCAAAAAAAAGGTAAATGCATATATGCACATACATGTAGCAAACATATGGCAGTGGGTCAAACCAATGGGATCCCATTTCGGGGTGGGTGCACCACCCATTTTAGTCTATTTTAGTGGGGATTGGGATGGGATTTTGACCCATGGCCACATGTAGAGAACAAGCTTGTGTGTTTGATGCAGGTCGCTGGGAAGGGCTTGAGCAGCATCAAAAGTTGTTTGTTTGCTTTGGCGCAGGACGCGTGCATACGTGCGTGCAGCATTTTGTTCGGCGCATTATTCGCGTACATTTTGGTTGTTTGTCGACATCAATCACATTTCGTGGGATTTCGTTTGCCGCGGTTCTGGCGCAAACACGCCCACTTGGTTGTGTCCGCTTTTGAGGGTACTCTTTTTGGTTGGTATCAAAGAGAAACCAAAAGGAACACCACCATTTTGGGGAGCGCGGTCCTAAAACAGACGCACCTTTGCGTTCAAAGAAAACAACCGTAAGCAAACCCACCATTTTGAGACAAAAGGTTCCTTAAAAGACCGACCCAGCCATATTTCTAGGGATTGATTCTTTATCTCGTCAGGGTTTTTGGTGGTTTTCTAGAAAGAAGGATCTCTGGAAATGTTGGAGAAGAAGGATGCCTAGAATATTTCACCCCCTCACCCAGTCTCCGGTCCGTTTCTGCCCAAAAGCCGCAGGAAGCGGCGTCCGCCAGCGCAGCAGAGCAGGAGGCCAAGCTGCACATGCAGAGGCGGGCGGGGATCGGCACCCGGTCCCTTTTGGGATCCCCCGAAACATCAGGTTCCATGTGACAAGGTTGGGAGGGTATTCGTGTTTTTTTTCCTTGGCGGTTCCCAGTCATTTCCTTAGGTTTTGTTTAAAGGTTTTTAGTTGGTTTTGTGGTTGGCTTTCCGTATTTCACCCAAGTTAAAAGCTTTGAGCGGGGATCTGAAAACGGACTGGATTTGGGGAATGTTCCAAGGGGTTGATTTTCCGACAATGAATGACCTGCCTGTGAAGAAAAGGCCTTTGTTGGGATGTTCTACAGGGTTTGTGTCCTTGGCACGGGCCTTTGGAAGACGGGCAAAACAAAAATCGGCGGGATGTTCAGGGAACTGAACATGTCTAAGGTTGGCGTGGCTGCACAGTCATCGAATCGAGCTGACGGATCCAGGCTACGCAATAGACACCCATGAAGATCTCAGAAGATGTCTGATTCCCACCTGCCGAAACATGAAATCCGGCTTCTGATCCCTTGTTTCCAGCTTGTGAATCAGTGTAGTTTCATTTATGTGTGAGGGGGAACCCTTTAGGTGGAAATTTCAAGGGTCATATTCTTCTTGTAAGCTGTTGTTTGGATGTGTACGGCCATGCCCGCCTCACAACGTTCAGCCTCCCCCCCTGCTTCTCTGCTCCCTCCGCAAGCGTCACAGGGAGCTCAGCGGTTCAGGAGCGGGACCCAGCTCGGGGCTAGCCCCTCATGGCCAGGCCGGCCCGCCAAAGGAACCTGTTGCACCCAGGAAGCTGCCCGCCATCCTAGTCATGCCCGGCATTGGGGCAAGACACGACGTCATCAGACAGCAGCAGCCGCCAGCAAGCCCTTCCCCCCACCATCTCTTGCAGGGGTACTAGGGGCAGCAAACCGCAAGCCGCGGGGCACTGCAGCACATCCACCCCATCGCATTTGGCGGCGCGAAAGGGGGCCTCCTCCGCCAGTGGCAAAAGGTCTGCCACCCCTGCCAGCCGTGTTGGGGGGGGGGGGGGGGGCCAGGAAATGCAGCGCCCGCTCCTTGACAGAGGGCAGTAACGTTGCTTTTTTGTTGTAAAGGGGGGGAGTGGAGGGTGTTGCAATGGGCCAATGTTCTGAGAGGTGGCTTGTTGTTTAAGGGGTAAGGTTGTTCTGAAGCGCTTATTCATAGGTTTTCTTTCTGAAGCCCTCCTTTTTAGATTAATCGACACGGGCATGTTGTAAGATGGGTTGGTTTCCTAAGGCTGCCTTGATAAGGCTGTCCTTTCAAAACCGGCCAAACGAGGGTAACGGATACCAGCAACAAAACACATAGGTACCACACTGAGCCAACTGAGCAAACAAAAAACATATGACATACCCATATGACATACCCATATGACATACCCATATGACATACCCATATGACATACCCATATGACATACCCATATGACATACCCATATGACATACCCATATGACATACCCATATGACATACCCATATGACATACCCATATGAATACCCATATGACATACCCATATGACATACCCATATGACATACCCATATGACATACCCATATGACATACCCATATGACATATGCATATGACATACCCATATGACATACCCACATGACATACCCATATGACATACCCATATGACATACCCATATGACATACCCATATGACATACCCATATGACATACCCATATGACATACCCATATGACATACCCATATGAATACCCATATGACATACCCATATGACATAGCCATATGACATACCCATATGACATACCCATATGACATACCCATATGACATACCCATATGACATACCCATATGACATACCCATATGACATACCCATATGACATACCCATATGACATACCCATATGACATACCCATATACCCATATGACATACCCATATGACATACCCATATGACATACCCATATGACATACCCATATGTGAGCCATGTGACATAGCCATGTGACATACCCATGTGACATACCCATGCCATATGACATATATGACATACCCATATGACATACCCATATGACATACCCATATGACATACCCATATGACATACCCATATGACATACCCATATGACATACCCATATGACATACCCATATGACATACCCATATGACATACCCATATGACATACCCATATGACATACCCATATGACATACCCATATGACATACCCATATGACATACCCATGTGACATAGCCATGTGACATAGCCATGTGACATAGCCATGTGACATAGCCATGTGACATAGCCATGTGACACAGCCATGTGACATACCCATGTGACATACCCATATGACATACCCATATGACATACCCATATGACATACCCATATGACACACCCATATGACATACCCATATGACATACCCATATGACATAGCCATGTGACATAGCCATATGACATAGCCATATGACATACCCATATGACATACCCATATGACATACCCATATGACATACCCATATGACATACCCATATGACATTACCCATATGACCCATACCCATATGACATACCCATATGACATAGCCATGTGACATAGCCATGTGACATAGCCATGTGACATAGCCATGTGACATACATGACATAGCATGTGACATATGTGACATACCCATGACATACCCATATGACATACCATATGACATATGACATACCCATATGACATACCCATATGACATACCCATATGACATACCCATATGACATACCCATATGACACATACCCATATGACATACCCATATGACATACCCATATGACATAGCCATGTGACATAGCCATATGACATAGCCATATGACATACCCATATGACATACCCATATGACATACCCATATGACATACCCATATGACATACCCATATGACATACCCATATGACATACCCATATGACATACCCATATGACATACCCATATGACATACCCATATGACATACCCATATGACATACCCATATGACATAGCCATGTGACATAGCCATGTGACATAGCCATATGACATACCCATATGACATACCCATATGACATACCCATATGACATACCCATATGACATACCCATATGACATACCCATATGACATACCCATATGACATACCCATATGACATAGCCATGACACACCCATATGACACACCCCTGAACAAAACGAACCAAAGACCTCCCCAAGCCTCCGCCCCTCCGCCCCCGAAACCCGCAGGCTCCAGGCCGCCCAGAAAGCAGCGCAGAAGGCCCAGGATGAGAAGCAGCTCCAGCAGGTGCACGAGACAAGCCAGCGGAGCGGGGGAAACTGATCCGGAATCCATAGGTCTGCCTATTCTGAAGCTATTGCGATCGGGTTGGATCTTTAGACTTGAACGGTTTTGGTTGAAATCACAAGGGTCCAAAGTACTGAACCCAAAATTTGAGAGCTTTCCGCAGAGGGGTCAACAGCAACCAAGTATTTTTTAGCGAGCTCAGTGATCCGGGCGCAAAACGAGCGAACGCCATGATGCAGAGACTTCCTTTGCCTGGGGATCCAATTCTTATATCAGGTTTTAGAATTATTGTTAAAATTGGCAGACGCGTGTGTCTGTGTGTTTTATTATTGGCGGGTACCATTTTCGGGTTGGTCTTCAGGGAAAACGAAAGGAAGTCACCATTTTGGAGGTCCCCCAAGTCTGTGGAGCGGATTCGATCCCTTCCGTTTGTCCGGAAAAGCCGCCCCCAAATGAAGCTCAAAGCGACACAGTGTTTGATGTGCTTTGTTGTTGAGGAGAAGCCCTCCCCCATTTTGTATTTTGTTGGGGGGGGGGGTGGGGTGGGGTACAGGAAGCGAAAGGGACACCAACGATTTTGGGGTTGCTTTTTGAATAGGCGAATTTAGGCGGTCCTTTCAGAAGCTCAAGGGTACCTCCATGTTGAGCCAAAACCAACAGGAAACTGCTTCAACATAGGGACCCACAATATGGTGGTTTTCTAGTCAGCAATATTCTCATTTGCTGGGAATGGAAGCGCGCTCTCAATGGTTTTGTTTGTTTCATGTTGGTGAAACATTAGGACCTTTCCAGATTATATGTTGTTTTCACAAACGGACCCACCGCTTTGTGTTGGGCGCTAAAGTTCCCTTCTTTTGGATTCAAACTATACATGTTGTTTGTCTAAAAACACAATGGGTAAAACTCCCAAAGCATATCGATTCTCTCCCCAACAGAGAAGATCACAATGACAAACTCGTTTACCTCTTGGGGTACGCAGTGATGCGTTTGGGCCGCCGAATGGGAGGGGGGCTGTGACAGTCAGTGTTTCGAGTTGGCCCACCTGGGGTTGCCTTCTAAGCCCACTTTTTTGTTGCCACCCCAGCCGGGGGTCTAACGGCAAAGCCTGGCCTCATCGTTTGGCGATGTGTTCTTTTTTTTAACCAGGTGAACCGCCTCAAAGATGGCAAGACAATGATTCAGACGTCCAGTGGTGCCCTGCTTTCTTTGTTTGGAGGGGCTTTCCTTTCTTGCACCAACTCGTTTTTCTCTTGGCCGCTGGTGTAATATAAAAATATCCAACTGATGTCCACATGATCATTCGCGCCTATGTCTCCTCATAAGCGCATTTTTTTGGTGAAGACGCCATGGTTGCCGCGTTTTCATTGGGTTTTTCCCGGGTTTCAACGGCCCCTGCCGCAGGCCAAGCAGACGGCCTCGGCCGAAAGTGCCGCGCGCTCAAGGGGCGGAAGCGATTTGCTGCTCAGTGAGTAACAATCAGCCAGCATGTTGTATGTGTATGTACGTGTTCAGTTGGTGGGGGGGGGTTGGCAAAAAGGGGACACCAAGGGAAGGATCCTTCTTTCAGGCAACGGCCGCACACCGCGGCCGAATGATGGGTGACAGGAGTGGTGGATGAAGCTGGGGCCTTGCCCAAGTTTTTCTACATCGCTGGTGGAGGTTCCACATTGACCACCTTTTGCCACCAGATTTGTGTGCCTTCAGTGCTTTCACCCCTTTAAAAGCACAAGCTGGTCCAACGCCCTGCACACAAGCACTGGCAAATGTATCTCAACGGAGGCGAGTAGACTTTGACTGTGTGCCCGAATGTCTGCTCCCGGATAAATCCGGCATTTCCTTGCTACGCCATTTTTTTTGGGTCATTGTTGGAAATCCCTGCAATGAATACGATCCTCCAGATCACTCCGAAGTCCCTACCGGGGGTCAACCAGTTTCAGCTGTGACGCTGAAACTTGCTGATCCCTGCCAGTTTCAAGACTTTTAGAAGGTCTCCTTTCGGAGTTTTGGGTTCCCACCAAGTAACATGGAACCTGAAGTTTGAGACCTGGTCCCTTTAGAATGGTCCAAAACCTGGACCCCCCAAAACATCAGGTTCCATGTGACAATGAGGAGGGTATTCGTTGTTTTCCTTGGCGGCTGCCAGCCACCCCCTTGGACTTTTAGGTTTTTGGTTGGCTTAGTGGCATAGTGGTTGGGTTTCCGTATTTCACCCACAAGTTAAACACATTTCGCAGGGGGATCCTGAAAACGGACCGCCCAGTTTAGGGGAGTGGGGTTTCGGCCGGCCTTTTTTGAGACGGTTCCCTCCCCCCCGTTCCCCCCCCGCGGATCGCGTCTCCAGCGACGGACTCGCTAGGTGCTGGCTCATGAGGCTGAGCACAACGCCACAGCCGGGCTCCTGAAGCTGAGGTTCCAGCGGCGCGCTGTGTTTTCGGTTTAGGAGTTGGTGCCAGGTGTTTCTCAGTTGTTCAGTGGCACCCTTTTTTCCCTTTATTCGGGGTGGCTGCCCCACTAAAAATGGTCTTCCCCAAAAAGGCTTCCTTTTTTTCCAGGGTCACTGAACAACTCAGGTTTGGTTGGTTTCAAAGGGAAGCCACAGGGAGAACTACGTGTTTTTGGGATCAACTGCAATTTTGTTGGAGTTATGGTTCAGGCCCTGTGTACCAGCGGAGTCCACGAGCCAAACCCTTCCGCCTGGATGTACGCAAAGACCTGGGTTTCCCTTTGGCGGTATGCCGAACTCTGCGGAGAAGTGGCATTTTATCCTCCCCCCGATCCTGGGTTTTCCGCAAATTGGGACTCCCTGACAAGCGGTTGATATGGCTTTGCTTCCTGCTGACCAACCAAACCAGGCCAGAAATTTAGGAAGCGCCGACTTCAGAACTGACTGGCTTTCCAGTTGGTTAGAATGAATCAAGGCTCACATGACAGGGCAACTCAGGGCTTCAATTTGACACTGGTTTTACATCATGTTGGGAAGTGTTTGAGAATGTGTCTGCTAATTGCGTGCTGTCCCCCTTTTGTTTGATGATTCTGTACAAAGTAATGGTCACCTATAATCATTTGACGTCATCGCTCATCGTCCAAAACCCGAGGTAAATGTGTCATGTTGTTTTCTCTCAGGCTGACGGGTCTTGTTATTTCAGCCAGCACAGTTGGGTAGAGGTCACGCCTGCTCTCCTTGTGTTTGTCCATTCGAGGGTTGACGCTGAGCGTTGTTGGACAGCATAGCGTGACTCGTTTGCTGTTGTTGATTGCGACGACGCTTTGCCAAGATGACAGCGGCAGAGTACTTTAGATTCCCGCATGTCCGATTCGAACAGGGGATTCTACTGCTTGGTTTCTTCACTTCACAATGAGGTTGTCCAATGCGGAGGCGCTTGAACACCTTGCTGGATTAAATCATCATTGGCTGCTCAGCCACTGAAGCTTTCTTGCTTGGATTTGCAGAATTTGAGTGCTGATTGTTGGCAGTTTGTTCAAGTGTTCCGAATGTTGCTGAACAGAGTTTCTTTGAGTGGTAGACGTCCATTCGTTGTGTCCGCTCACACTTCGGTGGGCTGGTTGCCGCGAAGCGGAAAGTCAAGGTCAAGCGGCTGGAAGCGAAGATCGCTCATGACAAGGCCAGCAGATTGGCTTCGGCTTCGGTTCGCCGAAGCATTGGTGCGGGTGGGTGGTGGATGGGTGGGTGGGTGGGGGGGGGGGGGGCGTTGGGGGCTGAGTGGGGATGTCATGTGTTGTTGTGGGCCTTTGGTGTTGCTTTTTAGGTTTGTCGTGTGGTGTGCGTCGGCTGGACTCATTTTGTTGAGCTTGTCCCTCCTACTTCCTTTCTCGTTGCTGTCAGCGACGTCAGGCCGTTCTTCGATTGGGCCAGTGACAAAGTCACAGATGTCTTATATGCTTCAAAGGTTCGAGGTGCATCACACACACACACACACACACGCGCACATTTGGCAATTTTGGGACTACGTCACAAAGCGGCATTCTGGCATGCCTTGAGAGGTTGCCAATGAGAAGCAAAGAACCGAAGCACAGAGAGCCCGGGATGGATAAAATCCAAGCCATTTTGCACCAGTTGGTTGGTGGCTTCTCCCAGTCCTATGGTTTCATCCCTCTGGCTTCCTCGAGGTTCGCTTTATGGAGATGCAGTCCCTGCGCGGATCCCTGCAGGCGAGACGAGACGTGGATTCGCCATGTGTGTCACAAATTCACCAGGGCTCCTTAAAAGATACATTTGAAACATGATTTTTTCCACCAAAATAAAGGGAAACCATGATTTACAAGGCAATGTTCAGGTGTATAATCTAAGGATCCCTGTTCACCTGTCAGAAATTTTGGCTGTGGTTGTCAAAACCGTTTTGGGATCCCATTTTGGTTGGGATTGGTGAATTCACCCATTTTAGAACTGGGGGTACGGGATTTTGACCCATGGCCATTTGTGAAGACACTACACCCCGGGTTGTTGGCAAATTGAGGCAAATGTGCGCAACTCCACGCGCATTTTGTTCAAATGCTGACACTTTGCGGCAAGTTTTGGCAAACTGCCCCGCCTCACCTACCCGTGACGCGCGGTGCGTGGCAAGTCTGCAAAGAGCACCCGGTTTTGGTCGAAGAAGCTTGCTTGTTTGATCTTTATTTTCCCGTGTGGTTTATGTGAACTCACACCTGTCACGACCTCAAAAGGGTCTTGGTCTGCGAGAGACAAGTCCAATGATTTATTTCTTGGGGCTCCATTTCCTATGTCAGACTGGATTGTTACAATTCGCTGAGACATAGTCTTGAATGCTTCAAGTGCACGAACAGCCGGTGGCGTCACAGTTTATAGATAAGCCCACTTTGGTCGTTTGGTTACCCGATTCGGCCCACTTACCGTGTAAAGCTTGCTACCATCAGTGACTGTCGCGCGCAGTGACGATGTTTGGCTAGGTGCAACACCCAGCCAAAACATGATGTTGGCACAAACATTTGGATCAGCCGCCACCACTAAAATGGTCTTCCAAAGTGTGGTGACTCGTGTTTGGGGCCAGGGTTCAAGCACTTGGCATGGCGCGTTCAGAGGACTGTTGCTTCCGCAGGCGCCAGAAGGGACACAGCTTGGTACTTTGCAGGTTTCCTGGATGCTTGTCTCAGCGAACATCTGAAGCAACTCAGCATGAAGAACTCTAAGATGAGAGGATCACCATGCGGGATACAGCATACGTAATATATCGCACTAATATGCATATTAAGTGCCAACAGCTCACTTAGTATTCGAGCACCCTCAAAACCCCGTTCTTTAATCATTTAGGCCGATATGGTACATTGTGCCAGCTGTTCTACTCAGGCATTTGGTCAATCATTGTCGGAATTGAGGCAATCGCTCTTCTTTTATTCGGTGGACTAGTCAAGAAGATGAGACGCGGGTGTTCCCCGTCCAGTCGCTCAATTTCTGGCCCTTGTCAGGGTGAGCCCAGCAGTGTGTCCAACTGTCCCGCGCTCGGATTGCTGTTTTACAAGGACAGGTCAAAGCTCACCCAGCCAGTGGACACACTTTATCCTTGGTGGCTCTCCCTTTTTACTAGTGGTGGCCCAAAAAGTGTACACTTTGTTTTGGCTGGTCACTGGCCAACTGAGAAAGGCTTCGGCTTGGTGGTCCAAGGGGTTGAACCAGTGATACACATGTTTAGACATTGCAGTTTCTGCACCTTTGCTTGTGTTGACGCTACTGATTGGCCCACAAAGCATGCAAGTTCATGCGACACGGTGGATGCTGGGTGATTGCGGCGCTGGTTCTAGTTTCCTTGCGCAAGTCCGACTAATGAGAGAAGCGGCAATGAATGCACATGGTCTATCTGCTGCTTGTGCTTTTCCACGTATTGGATTGCCGCTTTGCCCCAGGGGGCAATAGGCATGGCAAGAGGCAGACAGGCTTGAATGCCAAAGCATTGTACGACTTGCATTACATGAGCTATCACTTGCTACACGTTGCTAGTCGCAGTTGCCTGTTTTGGGACTTAATTGTTAGACCACAACTTCCGACGGAATCAGTTTTATGTAGTCAATCAGAGTGCTCAAATGAAGGCTTGACAAGGTGACCACTGGAAGAGCAGCAAGTGATAAGACCACGCACGCCGCTGAGATCTGATGATTGCCGGGGTGGTCGGGCGCGGGTCCCAAGCGCGGTTTGTTTCACGTGTGTTGCAGATTGAATGAAGTCGGCTGGACACCATTCTTGTTGGTTAGCCAGCAAAGATGGAACGCCCCATTGGCCTGCTTCAATGTGAGATCATGAGACATCATCTGAATTTGATATCAGTGGTTGTGCAGCTCCTATGGTCCCTTTCTAGCTCGTGATTATTCTACCTTAGAGCCTTGATTGCCTGGGATGTTTGTGGCTAGCTCTTGGCGCTGCAGATGCTTCCATCGTGTCAAGGCCATCCCCAGATCCTGCCGGGAAGAACATGCGCATTTTCATAGATGCGTTTCACTGGCCACCCTGGTCAGGTAATATTGAGTCGTAAATACAGCGTGTATTTACTAAATCAAGCATGCAAAACTGTAAACCAGCAGAGGCCACCATGGTGGGCGTCTAGGAAAATTGTCTCCTTTGTGCCTGTGGCCCTTCAATTCAAGGCCCGTTGACATGTAACTGCCCCGTCGCAATGATCTTTGTCGCAGGTTTCCCGTCTCGCCTGCCCTTCAACTGCCACAGCGCTTGGGGGGCCATTTTGCATGTACCTTGTTTTCCCTGGTTAGGCGCTCGTCTTAGACCGGTACCTTTACCAACCACAACAAGGTCCTGCTTGAGTTCTCATCCCGTACCGGTTCGTGCGATTTTGCAAATTCCCAGCATGGGTATTTTTATATCCCAACATGTTCAAGCCCTCCCATTCCTGCGCCTTCCATGCCAAGCGATGCCTGTGGATTTAAGCTGGCGATCTGCTGAGGTTGCTCGCCCTTTGCATTTTCCTTGTACCAGGAAGATCAAAGAAGGCAGGGCTGGTGTTCCAAAAATCGTTTAAGACTCCAGCCCCAAAGAAGCATGAAGAGGGAACCCGAGAATGACATTTCTACGTATGTGTTATCTTTTCATGCACGTGTTCCCATGATAACACAAACTACACAAATTGCTTAAAACATGTGTTGTCTTTGGATTGTTATTGCTATGTGCCAGTGTATCTCGTGTACATTGGTTGCAATGGCGGCGACAGAGTTACGTTTGAGAGGCCCTCAGGACCTGTGAGGTCTCAAGTCGACCGGACTCTGAGTGCCACGGGTACCCTCCTGTCCGTGTTGCCATGGGAACCTAGCGCTTCGGGATCCTTAGACATAGACCCTCTGGTGGGTTCCACACTAACGTGGACAGGAGGGTATGAGACTTCTTGAAATCGTTTGTTTCCTGCTTGCCCTTTAGAGTTCAGGATCCCTAGTGACACAGGGCGATGTCTGGTCTCAAGTGGCACCCTCAAAGTCGAACCGAAGCTTGCGCCATGCCATCCAATACGACGTGTAGTACGGGCGCAACCCTGGGTCGTCAGTTGACTTGTTGGCCTGGAGTGAAGGAGGCCGTTTGGAGTGGGTTTGACCATATCTGCAGGTTATGACCAGTTTCTCAGTTTCTCAGGGACTCGGTGCTTTGTTTGGAGACACACCCATCGTTTTCGCAGCCCACTAAGAGAAGTGGCCGCGGGTCAACACCAATGGTACCATTTTGGGGTAGGTGCACCACCCATTTTAGAAGCTATTTTAGTTGGGGATTGGGATGTTCACTGGGGGATAGCCGGGGTTTTGACCCATGGCCCAGTGAGTGTGTTCTAAGTTTTGCCCAGGCCACAAGTTTGATGCCACAGAACTGGAAGGAAATGGTGACTTGCGAGTCTGAGATGACCCGCAGCTTCGGAAATTGCATTTGTCTCTAAAAACTGGATGTGTGTGTTTAATTCAAATTTGCTTTTTGGCTAGGAGTATGTGTTGAATTATAATATTTGCAACGCTTTTGTGTTCTAGGGCGTTGCTTTTGTCTCGCACATGCTTTGGTGGCGCCAAAGAACGAAGCGCAACTCTGTAAAGAGCTCACTTGAGTACGAGCTCGCCCGCAATGAGAGTTCTTCACTGGAGAATTCCTGGTTCCCATTTGGGAATGATATCAATTAATCATACGGATTGACTTATTGTGTGACCGACCAAGACAAGCCTGGAAGCTGCAGCTTCCTTTCCGAGCGACTTCTCTCCTCGACATATCCCCGGCCCGACAAAGAAATGCTTTGGGAGCCTTCCTTTGGACCCATTTGGGTCCATGGAAACATTTTTCAGGGTGCATATAGCCACCCAGCCTTTGAAAGAGGGCGTGCTGGAATGCTTTGTGGCGAAGTAGCTGTAACAATTCGGACAGATTGGGTTTCTTCAATGTACTGTAAGGATTCCTGATGCTTCGTTTCAATTTGGGTTTCCCTTTAATACCAACCAAGAAGGGACTCCACCATCTCCAATGTTTCCTTTTGTGGGGGGCTGCTTCAGGCGAAGCAGGAGCCTTTGAAGGCGTGACTGCGGGCGGGGGGATGGTTGTTTCTTCTTTTGAATTTGTCTGGGTGCTATGATGTTAAAGGGTCCCTTTTGTCTTGGTGTCTTTTGAATGTGCTTTGGTTCCCTTTTTAGCTGGTGTTAAAGGGTGACAACGGTACCACCAAGAAACGCCCTGGACTGCGTAAGCCTCGGCTTTCGGCTGCTGATTACAAGTTCCTTGCTCCAACTACTGCATTTGGCCATGGCCCAGCGGTTGTCAAACCAGTTGGCTGCATGCCATTCGCGCGAGCAAAGCCACGGAATGATTGATCATTATAGCTTGTGTGGGTGGGTGCGCGCCGTGCGGCAATTCATAATGCAAGAGATCTGGTGCACGGCGTGTCGTACACGATCTGTCAGGTTTCCCACTCGCGGCCTTGCTTTGGTTTCCGGACACAAATCAGGCACGAACCTGTGCGCGCAACCGGGTGGGGCGGCCACGGCCGGACAGCTGACCGAGTCATGCGCAGAGAGACAGCGCTAAGTCTGGGAATGGTCCAGAAGCAGCTCGGGGAGGACGTGCCAGTAGCTTGTTCTCCCAACTCTGCAGCAGCCGCAAGAAGGGGAAGCCGCATGGAGGAATCATTTCATTCTTATCCAGTTGCAGCCAGATTGCGTCACGTGATGTTCTGTCCAGAGCCCTGGTGACGTCAGCTGCCAAGAATTTCTTGCACGCCTGCAAATATTGACACGCTTTCATTGGCCATTGGGTTTCTATGAACAGCAAATACCTCGATCCACCAAATTGTTTTGACCATGGCTCGCATGGTTTCCACTGCTTGCAATCGGGCCCTAAAATGGGATCCCAGGCCCAGCATTAAGAACCCCCTGCTTGTTTTGTTCAGAGAGAAGCAACCGGTTTCAGAGAGGATCCGGACATTTGGTGGACTTTTGCGCCCCAGTCTGCCAGACTCTACTGGACGAAACATGCAAATCCCCCAAGTTTATTGCGCAGATTCACAAAGAATCTGGGGCTCCCCTTTTTCAGGCGGCCTTTTTGGGTTGTTTTGGTAGAAGATATCGATGGCCCTGGTTCACCTGCTTGTTCAACCTACCAGGACCATCTACGTTTCCCAACAGAACGCCTATGGTCGCAGACGCGCCAGGAGCCCCTTCTGTCGGAGGAGGCGCGCCGCGAAAATCGCCGTCGAAGTCGCGGGCGTTACGAGCCGTGGCCGTCTAAAAGCTGCGGATGTCCCCTGCAAAAACGAATACCAGGATGTCAAGGCTACCCAACGTCTCATCAGTTGCAAGGGATGGCAGACAAAATGATTCATGTGTTGCTTCGCGCTTCTCATGACTTTCCCTTGAAACAGATTTTGAGAAGATTCTGTGACCAAACCTTATGACTACTTTCATTTGCCGAATCCATTGTTTTCACTTCTCACTTTGCTTTTTGAGGGAAATGGGTGTACCTAGCCAAACACAGCCATTGGTTTGTTCAGCACGATGTGTTCACCCCTGTTACTGTTTGTTTTGGAGGCGGCAATACATGCGATGCCTCCTGAAGCGAATTCAATCTGTTTGTCCTTCCCCTTTTCAGGGAAATGGCCATGACAGGTAAATAGGTTTGTTTGTTCCTGAAGCGAAATGGGTGTGGGTCAAACATATGTACCCAAAATGGAACCCTGGCAAATGCAAACAAGGGCTAAGACCTGCGGTTTTGTGGTGCATGGTTGAATTTGATCCACACCCAAATGAACGATTTGGTCTGGTGCCACCTGGATCTTCGAGACATCGCACAGGACCCGGCCTGGGCTACGGAGGACACGGAGATGACTGCGGAGGAGCTCCCGCCATGGGTGGAATCGTCGTGAGGGTAGATTCAGGTGAGAGGATGTTGTTCTCCTTCGGCTGTTCATGGTTCTTCAATTTGGTTACACAGGTGAAATTGTATTATTAATTTACCCTTCCTCCAACAAACATAGCACCTGCGGGAGTGTACCTCGGAAGATCAATTTCCTCTTAAAGGAACCCCCTGTGAGGTGCTATGTTAGTGGGACGGAGGGTAGATAGTTGTGGACTATTTGCCGGGGGTTTACTTCATTTGCTTAATAATGTTTTATATTCTCCCTTGTTGGTTTTAAAAGGAATTCATCACTACTGGTTTTTTTTGTCCCTTGGGCCTCAACCAAATGGAAGTTTAGGAAAGGCCATTGTCCGTAAACAATCCAAGTGAATTCTCACATTGAGGTTGGATGGGAATCAGCCACTTAGTATCAAAGAAGGGTTTCCCTTGAACACCTCGCAACCGCAGACAGTGAATCAGTATCCTTGTTGTGGGGCAGGTGTCACTTGAAAATCACGTCCCGTTTAGCTTGGGCACTGGATGTTTGGGTCTTTGCGTATCAGTGCTGCTTGTTTGGTGCTATTGGCATAAATTGCTCTTGCACACTCATGGGATTGTCGCAGGGCACTCTTGTGCCCGTCGGAATACCTTGGAAGCACAATCATTGAGGCCAACCCACCACGGAATCTCCGGAGAGGTCAATACAAAGGGGGAGCTGAGATTGCTCTCGCAACATGCGGGCAACATGCAGTGACCATGAGTTTGCGTTGAAGCTTCCTTTCTTGGACTCGTCTAGTTTGTGGAAAACTTGCATGTTCGCTTGCCTTGGATTCCTGCGGCTAGACATGGGTGTTGCAAAACAAAACATGACTCAAACTGAGTTTCTTGTTGTTTCCCGCACCTATTCCAATCGGCATAGCCACAAGGATAGTTTCCAATGTGCGACGGTCTTCATGAAGAGCACAGACCTTCCAATGGCTCCCCCAAGTGCCCCAAAGCCCCCCGAAGTTTTTGAGCAGCTTGAGACGGCGTTTTCTGCGCCAGTCACGTTTTAGGCTCAAGCTAGTGGATGCCAAAGTACATCGAACCGGATGCATGGCTTTGCACTCTTGGCCAGTGCCGAGAGCTCAGCCTTCTTTTTAAGGGATCAAACGGATCGACTTCGCGGCTCACATTGGGACCCTCGAACGGACCCTCATTTGTGCCAAAGGCACCTTTCTTCGGGTTGCTTTAATGGAACCACCCAAGTCCCGTATTTTGAGACAGACATGCGATGGCCCTCAAATCCAAAGGAAATCCCATAGCGCAAGCCAACCTTGTGCAGGGGGGATGCGATACCTATTTCAGGACCCATCCCAAGGTGATGGTTCGATGTTGAACTTGTCGGCTTCCCAGTTGATTTTGAGCACGCAACCGCTGATTTCCATATCTGGCTTGTCTCATGGCCGAGAAGCTGTTGCCGACCGAGAAGCTCAGTGTGACTTGCTCATCTATGCCGTTGCATTGTCCTTGTTTCTTGCGGATAACGTGTATATATATATATACATACATACATGTTCTATACATATAAACATATGCATGATTATATGTATATTGATATTCATGTGTGTCTTTCTTTGAGAGCACCTGGCTGCGTTTCTGAACGCAGAGACTTGATGCCATTTGCTAAACGGCCCATGTGTTAGATTGACAATTGAGCGTAAGTCCAATGTCAAGGACCAGCACTGCTTGCAGTTATCTGGCTTCCCCCAACCAAATGATCAACCCCGGTTTTCTACAAGGGTCACAGAACAACTGGGCCATCCATTTGTTCTGGGCTTATACATGTTATGCACCGGAACATTTGCCCGACTCAAGCCACACTCGCACTGGCGGAGTCCGTTTGAATCATCTGATGATAACAGCGCGCCCAACAAATTTCATGTCCGCTCGAAATGCAGACAACTCAAGCACCCTTTATAGAACCCGTTGTAGCAATGTGCGGAACGTTCGGAACGTTGCTAGGTTTTCCGTGCCCGCATGATCCATGTCTACTGGACGATTTGGCGTATTTCAGGCTCCTTGCGTCATGCCTCATTAAGCTGCCAATGGCCACTTCTCTACATTTGAGCCAAAATGTGTCAACGTTATATAAACTCTAGCAAAGAAAGGCCATTTTGTTCTGAAAATAAGCATTCCCCTCCAAATAAGCTGAGAAGCATCTCCTCGCACAATCTGTACGGATTGCAGATCTGCAGATCTGCAGATTCGGCATGCGTGAGATGCTCCCAAGCTTCCTTTGGTTAACGTAAAGACCCTGGGAAAGTTATGGTAGATCCTCGGTTGGGGTATCTAAAACAGGATGAAAGTACATAATAAACATATATATATATATATAAACATCAGTTTGGCACGTCACTTGGCCTGGTTGAAAAATAACACGTCCGACGCCCCGTGGCTGGAGGCTTTTTGCCTGGCCGCCCTGGTGACCTCTGAGCCCTTCTGCGAGGAGTCGGCATGGGAAGAGGGGTTTGGTGGATTCCATCCGGCGAGTGGAAGGCTATCCCTGCGTTTTGGGGGGGAAGTTTCTCCGTGTTTTTTTCCGAGGAAGTCCTTTGGAAAGTCAAAGAAGGGACCGGCTAGGGGGGGAATTTCTCAGGCTTTCCAGGAAGTCGTTTTCAGAAAGCCAAAAAGGGACGGTCGTTTGCCCAATGCACGTTGCCCTCTGTGGAGGCGACGAAGGTAATGTGTGTTTGATGCTCCATGGATGTTTTTGATTTTCCTCTGGGTTGGAGATGGTTGTGGGTGCTGTATCCCACGCAAACCTGGGCAGCAAGATGTGCGCTGTCGGCTATCACTGAGATTTTGGGCTTGGTTGCTGCCCTGTAACAACAAAAAAACATAAGTGCAATGATGTAGGTGCTCTATTACTAGTTTTGTATTTTCTGTGGGCGTTGCTAGTGGCTGACCACACTGCCAGTTAGATGCCCCATTGTCTCCGAGATGTTGAGAGTGAAGACAGTACTGCGTGCATCTCAAGCCATTGCCACTGACAAGCACTGTGTGTGGGAAGCTCCGCACAAGTATGAGATTAAGTTTTACTGCTGAAAGACAAAATGCATTGTAGTGTCTTTTTCCTACTCACACCCAAACTTGACCACAAGCTGCAAATAGGCGAGAGGGGGGCGTCCTGGGAGCGATCAGAGCAAACGCAAGCCTGGGGGCAGATGTTGACTAGTTGAAGGGAAAGAAGAGCGGCAGTTTTTGTTTGTGTCCGAAACCGCGAGATGAAGCTTAGTAAGGGATAGTCCCAGAAGCAGCTGCAGCCGCCTTTTAATGTCCTTACAATTTGGGCAGGCCATTTGAATACCGGGTTTTGATGACTCGTTTGGGACTTGCCTCCAACTGCTGCTTAAGCTCCCTGAGTTTTTTGGGGCCTAGCAGCCTGGCGTAGAGAACCCAATGGCAACGTACCCGTGTTGAGGGCTTCCTAACAAATTCAAGACATGTCCGTCCACATAAAAGCTCATTCTCGGCTGAACCAGCGATAATTCTGGGATTCACTTCATGCGTCCACAGACCCTTTTCCTTATCAATAGCCGGAACATTACCACTCACCACCGATATGGGCCCACCCAGAACAGATCCTCTCCAAGGAACCGCCTCAAGGGGTCCAAGGGGTGCCACGGATTCTTTTGGTCAGAAACAAGCCTTAGGATTATTGGAACGACCAATGATTGCCAGTTGTTGCCTCGGATTTCCGCACCCGCACCCCGACGGTGATGTTCGTGCACAGGAGGATGAAGAAACCACTTTGCTGCATGCTCAGAAGGCCGGGTCAAATGCGCAGCAGCAATTGCTTGTTGTAAGCGCGACTGCTGAATGGTTTCAGGGTTTCCTGCACGTCACGGCTTGTGTTGCCCTGTTCTGCCCTTGTCGTACATGGCCATGGGTCAAAAGCCCGTACCCCCAGTGAAAGTTCCAATCCGCACTGAAATCAATTCTAAAATGGGTGGTGAGGTCACCTACCAACCAAACTGGTATCCCAAAACGGTTTTGACAACCCCTGCCGCTTTTTTTGTTGTTTTTCTCGCGCGGCTGGAGCGGAAGGTCTCTCTCTTTTTGCACCACTGGGCCGCAGAAGAAAGACGACTAATGTTAACCCCGGATTAAGAGCAACCCCTGGTTGATTTTGATCGGGGCGTGCCCCCCCTTTAGTGGTTGGATTAAGACCACTTTTGGAGGGGTCCCCATGCCCCTGAGAATGGGACGGGTTTATTAACACGACAAATCCATGAGCGATGTAGAGGCAGATGGTCGACTCATGTTTGCATGCGAGTATCAGATGCTTGCAGGCATGTGTTTTTCCCAGTTGTCCTCAAACAGCTCTAATTCCGGAGTAATCATATCCGCACGCTGCGTTTTGCTACGGCCATTCTGCTGGTGGGAGCTGGTGATGTCCTCAACAAATCTGTCAACCACATGTGCGAGGCTAGTGCGCAGGAAGCTCCCGCATCACAGTCATCCATAGTGACTGGGACTGCGTGTCAAGGAACATTGCAACATGTGGCTGTGGTTGTCAAAACCATGGGATCCAATTTTGGTTGGTAGGTGAATTCACCACCCATTTTAAAACCTATTTTAGTGGGGGTTGGGGTGTTCACTGGGGGTACGATTTGGATTTTGACCCATGGCCATGTCACTCAGGAGAGGGACCCCAACAAGGCATACATAGCCTGTATGATCCGTGGTCCCGCAGTTCATACGGGGGGGCATACAATGAAGGGTTGTGTGGATGGGATGCTTGCGACAGGGACATTTGGCTTTTGTACCTTGATCCAATTTGTGGTGCCTCCCAAATTTGTGTGCTTCCACACGATTCGCGAGTTAGACCTGAAAAGTAGCGGGGCCAAGCATGGCCCCCCCCCTGTGCTAATAAAAGCCCAATGTAGGGTTGACGATCCTCAGCCCATTGAGCAAAGGTCTTGGGGTGGACTTTCTGGGTCCAAGTTTGCCCTTGGGCCCATGGGCTCGGCTTTTGGAGGTCCCTGGACCCATTTCGGGGGTCCGATTTCTGGAGATACGCGTCTTTTCGGAGCCTGCCAGGTACTGAAGCCCAACGCCAACAGTTCTGAAGGTGTGCCGAAGGGAATTGGTTCGGGGGCCTTGGGTCAATAAAAAAGGTACCCTCTCACCAATGAACATGGAACCTGACAGGGAAATGGTCCCTTTGACAGGAAAATGGTCCCTAAAACAGGAAAATGGCCCCTTTAACGGGAAAATGGTCCTGGAGTCCTCTAGAACCGCCCTGTCAGGTTCCATATAGCTGATGTGCAAAAGGATTCTCTTTTTTTTTATCAAAGGTTACGTGGCACATTGTAGATACATTTGTCAATGTTGTGCTTCTAAGGCATTGGGCAGAATCAGAGTACCATCGCAAGACCTTTTGCATGGGCTCGCTTAGATCAAGGCACAGGGTGGTGTTGGTGATTCGACATGCTATGACATGGTGTCCATTTTTCCAGTGTGGTACTGGTACATGTTTTGGACATTTGCTGCTTGGCAAAGCAAAGCTTTGTGTCATGCTGCTGCCATTGGGTAGGTTCCTTTGTTTGCCCCACAGCCTCGCGCGTGGAGGTTGCTTGTAACCCATTCAAATGGGCCCATTGCATGATTGGTCACCCTAACAATGTAAGCTAGCAATCGGAGTGGTTTGCAAGACAACCATCCGAAGAAGGCCACTCCAGTCCTCCCCCCGTGATTGGGCCCCGCAAGCTGGTTGGCCTTTCAAGACCTCTGGTTGGCGATTTGCAGGGGTCATTGGACAGCCATATGGGTATGGGTCAAAATTAAGGCACCAGCGACGGTTTTAGTCCTTGCTTCCATTTACCAGGGTTCTATTTTGGGTAATCGTTCTTGACCCACAGCCATGCTATGAGGAAGTCCTTTTTGCTGTTAGTGAGACATGAGCCAACCCTGCCAGGGCGAACAACAACATTGCTGCCTTACTCGCTTCGTGTTTGCCTGCCAAGAGAAGGGTCCCGCTGTTAGAACTTAAAAAAGCAGAACAGGGGACCCTGGTAGTGCGCTTGTTTGTGATTTTTGAGGCTTGCACTCTTCTTATGGGGCAGCCATGTCACTTGCACTTGATCTAACACGCGCAGAGGAAACATCTTGAGCAAACATGAAAAACAAAAAACTCGAGGAAAACCAAAAAAACTCGAGAAAACCAAAAAACCAAAAAACATGGTATAGAAAGTCCTTGGAACACAACCCATATTGGAAGAGTTCTGGAAACATGTTTCTTTTTGGTTTTCTAGTTTTTTTTTTTTTTTTTGGCGTTCCTCGAGTTGTTTGTGTTTTTGTTTTTTTTGGTTTTCTCGAGGCTTTTGTGGCTTAATAAACCAAACAATGGCTTACGGGGGACCAGCCACATTTGAGCCCCAAAATAGCCATGGGCTCATGGGTTACATTCGGCCTGGTTCTGCCACTTAGAACTGATACCTCGTCCACCAGTGGAATTAAGCACTGGGAATCTGAGAGGAAATCTTGGCAATACCAAATCTAGAACTTTCAGCAAATACTAAATGCAGTACGGGGAATCTAAAAGTAAGGGTTGGCAATGTTCAATTTGCAATTGGCAATACTAAATGCAGAATTGGCAATACTGAATCAAGCACTGAAAATCTGAGTGTAAGTCTTGGCACTGCTCAATTTAAAATTGGAACTGCAAAATGAAGTACTTCGAATGCAAAAGTAAGTCTTGGCAATACCAACTTTAGATTTGCCATACTAGATCAAGCATTGGGAATCTGAGTGCAGTGTAGGCTTGGCAGTTCTCGATTATGGGATGCTGAGAGTTAGTCTCGGCAATACTAAATTTAGAGTTGGCAATACTACGCTTAGCACTGGGAAGCTAAAAAGTAAGTCTTCGCAATACTGAATTTACTACCGGGATTCTGAAAGTAAGGCTCGGCAATACTAAATTTAGAATTGGCAATACTAAGTTGAGCACTGGGAAACTAAAAGTAAGTCTTTGCAATACTAAATTAACTACTGGGATTCTGAGAGTAAGCTTTAGCAAAATTAAATTTAGTTGGCACCGCTCAATTTAAAATTGGCACTGCTAAATCAAGTCCTTTGAATGCAAGAGCAAGTCTTGGCAATGCCAAATTTAGATCTGGCAATACTAATACTAGAATAAGCGCTGGGAATCTGAGTGCAGTGTAAGGCTTGGCAATTCTCGATTAAGATAATACTAGATTATGTACTGGGATTCTGAAAGTAAGTCTCGGCAATACTAATGCCAAATCTAAACTGAGCACTGCCAAGACTTATACTCAGATCCCAATGCTAATTTTAGTATTGGCAATTCCACATTGCAAAATGCCAAGCCTTACTTTCAGACTCCCAGTACCGATTTTTTGTGTATATTGACAACTCTAGATTTAGTATTTCCAGATTCCCACCATTGCTTATTTCTTGTTGTTTGCAAATTCTAAATTGAATATTGCCAAGACGTACTCTCGGGTTCCCAGTGCTTGATTTAGTATTGACAATTCTAAATTTAGTATTGCAAATTGCAAATTATCATTGCCAGGCTTTTCTTTCAGATTCCCTGTGATGAATTTAGTACATATTGAAAAATTATAGATTTAGCATTGCCAAGACTTCTTCGCACATTCCCAGTGCTGGATTTAGCATGTTGCCAATTCGGAATTGCGTATTGCCAAGACTTACCCTCAGAATCCTAGTAGTTAATTTAATATTGCGAAGGCTTACTTTTAGTTCTCCAATGCTAAGTTTGGTATTGTCAATTCTAAATTTTGTATTGCCGAGACTTGCCCTCAGAATCCCCTCAGAATCCCGGTACTTGATTTAGTATCATCTTAATCGAGAATTGCCAAGCCTTGCACTGCACTCAGATTCCCAGTGCTTCATCTAATATTGCCGATCTAAATTTAGTATTGCCAAGACTTGCTCTTGCATTCAAAGTACGTCATGTAGCAGTGCCAATTTTAAATTGAGCAGTGCCAAGACTTACGCTCAGACTCCCAGTGCCACTCAGAGAGGCAAACACTTATCCAGCAACATGTGCACAGCTTCTGCAAGAGATCAAGCCTCAAAAACACATAAAAAGTGCACTACCACAGTCCCCCGGTCTCTAAAAAAGACACTAATACCGAATATGAAACTCTTTGCGTTTTGGAGAGGTTCAACTGAAACTCAGGCACCTATCATAAGACCAAAACCATGAACCGGGTAGGACCCCTCTAGCAGGGTCGCGGGGCTGTTGTCTATTGGCTCCAGCAGAGTGGAACCGTGCTCGAAACCCCGCATTCACCGCGCCACCACGATGCGGACCAATCCGCATTCGCAAAAATGTGGCGACCCTGGGATTGCCATGACGGTGCATTGTCAAACGAAGAATAGCAATCTCTGGCATACTCCTGGGGTCCGCTTGATTGTTCCAACCAGGTGCAAGAGAAATGTTTTCCGTGTTAAGGAATGCACAGAACCACGTTATGGAACCATACCACGGATTCCGCTCGCGTCGCCATGCATTCGGCATGCTTCCTAGGTCCAGTAGTACCCTTTCTCGCCCCTTTTTGGGGGAGGGCTCCCCCACTAAACTAGACTACAGAAAAAGAATCGGGTACCCTTATTCTAACCTCTCTGCTGGAGGACCTAGATTCTCCGCAGCCCGCCTTCTGGCGCTGGAGTCAAACTTCAGCGGGTCCATCGCCTTGCAGGCCATCGAGTCCGTCTCGCGAGCGCCAGGGGCACGTGACAGCACAAGCCAATGCATGGTCTGAAAAATTGGTGTTGGCATGTTCTTAGCGGAACCCTTCCACGCAAAAGCAGAATTGTCCGGGGGTTGGTGTTGGGGATGAAGGTGATATCCATGGATATGTAGATATGTGGTAGACATTCATGCCCTTGCAACAATTCCATGATGGTCGGGTGAAAGCAGACGTCACAATTCCCTTTGTTTGGCTCATGACGAAACCTTTCTGGGCATTGTGGCATCTACTTTGGCCAACAGAAATTTAGGACATGACTATGCCGTCCTGCGAGGAGCTGAAAAACCGGACGAGCGTATGGGCGGCGAGCATGGTGCAGCTGACACAGAGTGAGCGGGCAAAGCTCTCCGCGGCTTATGGGACTCCTGTCTGAAGATCTAGATGGATGGATGTGTGCTTCTAGGTCCCCAGTAGTGCCCTTTTACCCTTTGTTGTGGGAGGGTTCGTCTACTAAAATAGACTACAGAAAAAAGAGTACCCTTATTCGAACCTCTCTACTGGAGGACCTAGGCTTTGTTTGAGCGTACTTTGTTCTCTCTAGCTCCTTTTCTTTTTTGAGGGTACCTTTTGAGGATGTGCTTTGTTCTCTCTATCTCGCTTTACGAGCGGTTTTCGAAGGTCCTGTTTTGGGGGGAACCCCTTGGTGGTTGGTTTTTAGGGGAAACCAATAGGGAGAACCACCACGTTGGAACTCCCCAATTTTAATTAAGACAAACTCATTTGTGAATTACGTCAATTTGCGAAGAGAGCTAGTAGTCATCGTTATCCCATCCACGTTTCCGCGGAAGCTGACTGGGGGTTCTTAGTTTGGAAAGGTTTCCGCCAAACCGCGCCCTTCCGGTTGGCTCCGTCTTGGTCAGTGAGAGGGCAGCATAGATCAGGCCAATCATAATAAGCTCTCCGATTGGGGATGGTTAGATGCAGACTAGTAAGAGGGCTCGAATTTTCAGGAAGCGCGTGCCTCCGAATCCTTTCCATTCAATTGAACATTAAAAAACAAGAAAAAAGTTCACACTTCGGGCCCAAGTTTTCCTCCCCAAAAAAAGCGGCGCGGCTTTCCCTAACCAACCTCTTTTCCAACCGCTTTTTGGCCGGGTGAACCGCCCCGCGCCCGTTTTCGCGGCCTAAAACCCCCGCTTTCGCGGGGGCCGGTGGCCCGGGCAGAGGTCGGGGCTGACCATGGTGCTGTCCTTCGCTCTGGCGGCCTTCTTCTGCAGCTGCTGCGCCATCATGGCGCTCCGGAACTTCATCGAGGAGTGTTTGTTTTTTGTTTTTTTCATGTGAAGCGGTGGGTGTGAAAACCGTTTTGGGATCCCATTTTGGTTGGTAGGTGAATTCACCACCCACTTTAGTCTATATTGTGTTTTTGTTATATGTTTTTAATGTGAAGCCGTGGTTATCAACACCGTTTTGGGATACCATTTTGGTTGGTAGGTGAATTCACCACCCATTTTGGAACCTATTTGAGTGGGGATTGGGATGTTCACTGGGGGTACGGGATTTTGACCCATGGCCATGTGAAGCTGGGTCAAAAATAGGGGAACCCCAAAATAGGGTCACCTGCATAGATGTCCTTTTTGGTTGGTTTGCGGAAAAACAACAGAAGGCCCTGGTTTACCTGGCGGTTCAATCATCTTCCGGGGCCAGCTATTTTCCCAAAATGACACGGCTAGGTCCCCCAGCTAGGTGCCCTTTCTCACCCCTTTTTTGGTTGGGAGGGTTCCCCTACTAAAATAGACTACAGAAACAAGTTGGTACCCTTATTCTAACCTCTCTACTGGAGGACCTAGTAGGTAACCCCAAAATAGGGGAACCTGCAGATTACTCAAGTCCGGCTTATGAATAGTACTGTTGACCCCATATGAATTTCAACCATATGGGTCCCAGTGTCCGATTCTGGTTTCTGAGGGGAATCAGACCACTTTTGCAGGGGAGCACCATGTTAATAAACAGGGGTTGATTATTATGGAACATTAATGTCAAGCAGTGGTTTCTTAGTGCAAGGACAAAACATCCACCATTTTTCAGGCTGGAAGCAAGGGTTGAAAAGCAACAAAACAAGTCAATCTCAGCCATAGTTTGGGGTACTCCACCATTTCCACTTTGACCAAATACCCACGTTTGGTGTGGCTACCCTCCCTTTCACATGGCACTCATGGGGAGGTGCCCGGATGAGTTTCCTCTTGCAGGGACGCCCTCTCAACTGCCATGCTAGTGGTGGGTTTTTCTAAGACCGGACCCAAATGGGTTGAACGGGGATCAATTAGGAGCCGGAGAAGCCGCCTTTGGCCTTTCCGGGCACAGATGCGCTGCGGAGGCTGCGCGAGCGGTACCGGAACCCCAGGCGATGGGGGCGCGATTGTCGGGTGGGGTTGGGGTCCGCGAATGGCTCCAATGACGTCCAAGCTGCTCCAAATGTTGATATTTTCCTTTTGGTTCCCCTTGAATGCAACCAAGCTGGAAATTGTAGCCTCCAAAACCAATCACACACACAATTGTTTGGCTTTGTCGAGAGTGACCCCAACTGGAGATTTGTCTTTAGGTTTGCCTCCACCGCATTCAACACAGCCCGAAAAGGGGTATCCTCGAAAAAAGACACGTCCATCTTACGTGTTGTTGCCGAGGCCTATCACTTGGCGGGTCAAACCTTGCAAGGAATTTTCATCATGACATCAGGCCTGCCTACAGAGGCCCAACCATATTGGCGTGGTTTGGCTCGAAGCCACTTTTGCCACAATCTCAAACTCACTCCCTGCCCCTCTGGATAAGAAGAACCGGTATTCGTAAGCACGATTTGTCTTTGGCTGCAGTGATGGTTGACGACGTCTGCATGGTAACAACATGAAGACACCATGACTGGCTTGGTTTAATTAGTGTTGAACCCGGCTAAATCAAACAGGCGGATTTATCGGGCTCCCCCCGAAAGTCAAGCGTTCCCATATTTGGTGCCAAGCGATTTGCAAAGCCCACAAAAGGGCCGCTCTGGTCAGCGATTTGTGGGGGCCCCAAAGCTCATGGCATGTTTGCACCAAGAAGATCAGCCTGGGTCTCCATCAAGATGAATGCATCATCAACCCGGGTCAGGCTTCGGCGAGTTGAGTTCCGCCCCTTCCCTTTTTGGAGGAACCTTCTAAGCATTTCTGCGTTTCCCATGAGTGTTGGACCAGCTCCTTGCTTGAACATCTTTAAGGGACCTCCTCTTAGTTGCTCTTGGGGGTCCAGGGTCAACCCCAGGGTTGGGAACGAGACCTGTCTTTGACCACGAAACCCAAAGGAGGCCTAAACAATCACAGCTTCGGCCCCTTTTTTTGAAGTTTCAAAGGGACACCGGAACGAAATCCACAATATCCACATATGGCTGTGGGTCAAAACCAATGGTAAATTTTGGGGTAGGTGCACCGCCCATTTTAGCTTTTGTTGGTGGGGATTGGGATGGTCACTGGGGGTACGGGATTTTGACCCATGGCCATATTTGTGTAGGTGTCCCTTAAAAAATCATCGACACCCCCTGTTTCAACGAGTTGACCACATTCTTTTAGGTGTCACCTCCTGTTTTCATCCTGTTTCAAGTTTACCCAAGCCCTGAGGACGCCTCCGGGCACCAGCCAGGGCCAGCGAGGCGCCGGCGCCGCCGGCGCCGCCGGCGCCGCCCCGCCGCCGGAGAGTCTCGACCCGCCGTGGCGGGTGGTGGTGGTGGATGCGCCGCTGCCCGGGGACCGCCTCGGGGTGATGCTCGCGGAGGCACCGGGCCGGCGCTCGCTCGCGTTTTTTTTCTTTCTCTTCGTTGGGCGGGCTGAGTTTGGCCTGGCCGGTTCCAGTGGTTTTCGTTGATTTCTTGCCTTGGTTTGTTGCTTGTGGGGTTGGAGGTTTGGTTTGGTTGCCACAGGCCCTTTTGGTTAAGCAATGGGCTTTTTGCTGGTAAATGCGAGCACAACACCCAACCCAAACCAGTGGAACCCATCTATTCTTAACCAAGCTAACCTAAAAGGACACCTACGTATTGAATGCTTGTTCCAGGGTCTGGTTTAGTTGATTTCTTGCCTTGGTTTTGTGCTTGCTAGTGGGGTTGGAGGGGTTAGCCTGGTTGCCGCAGGTGCCCTTTTGGTTAAACATAGATGGTTTGAACTATGATGTATTCTTAGTTTGGTTTCATACGCATCCTTGTGCCGGTTCCATTCCCCATCACCTTCTTGCATTTTGTCGCAGCTCGCGCCTATGTGTTGCATTTGTTGTGCGTTCTACATGGTACATGCTTTTGGATTCCCCCCCCAAAAAAAGAAGAAGTTAGAAGAAGAAGAAGAAGAAGAAGAAGAAGAAGAAGAAGAGGATAATTAACATACACTGGAATAAACAATAAAACTACATGGCCCTTTTTTATGTGAAGCCGGGGTCGACTCATTTTTATGTTTCTCCCGATGTCCTGTTCAGCAGCCAGCCGTTTTGCGTTCGCAGGACAGCCTGGTGGTCACTGAGATCACGGACCCCCGGGCGGCCGGGTTCGGCTTTCAGGCGCTCAGATTGGAAGTCAGTGGGGAGATGGCAACGTGGTTGTCAAAACCGTTTTGGGATCCCATTTTGGTTGGTAGGTGAACTCACCACCCATTTTAGTCTATTCTAGTGGGGTACCATTTTGGTTGGTAGGTGAATTCACCACCCATTGTAGGTTTCCTATTTTAGTGGTTGGATTGGGATGTTCACTGGGGGTGCGATTTGGATTTTGACCCATGGCCAAATGGCAATGTGACAGGAAATCCAGTTGAGCATCCATCGCATGTGAGCCACGGCCAAAACCTGCGAAGACCACTTTATGAAGAGGGGCTGAATTGCACGTATATATGTCAATATATACATATAAATATATAGATAGACATATACCCGCAGCCCGGGTCGATTGCCGTCAGCCTTGAACTCCACCGGGGGAAGCTCAAATTCGCGCTGTCGGAGCATTTTTTTTTGCGGGGGCGGAGTGGGGGGTGGTTTTATCCGATGGACAATTCCCAGGAATAGAAACTGTACTTTAAGACTTTTCGAGTCCGTCCATTATGACATACGCAATGAGTTCTTGTGTCTCTGGCCTTGATGTGCCTATAAAGTACTTAAGTTGTGTTTGCCTGAAAACTTGTTTGTTTCTTTGCAGGTGCTCGTGCAGCAAGCACCGCCGGGCTCGGTGATTGAACAGCTAGTTTCGTGTAGATTGTACCTTCTTCGGTTTGCTTCCATGATATGTTGTCAACATGAAAGCATGGAAGGTGGGACCTCTTCAAAGGAAGGACCGACACAAAAGCGCAAAATCTCGGCTGGCAAACAAGATTTTGACTCAGCTACTGCTTTGTATGTGTGTGTGTGTGGGTATGTTTGTTTGCTTGCCTTGAGTCGCGTTACAGCTTGCTGTTTCTTTCTTCATGTATTTCTTTCTTTCTTTTTTTCTTTCTTTCTTTCTTTCTTTCTTTCTTTCTTTCTTTCTTTCTTTCTTTCTTTCTTTCTTTCTTTCTTTCTTTCTGCCTTTCCTTCGGTTTGTTTGTCTGTCTGTCTGTCTGACTGTCTGTCTGTCTGTCTGACTGTCTGTCTGGCTGTCTGTCTGACTGTCTGTCTGTCTGGCTGGCTGTCTGTCCGTCTGTCTGTCTGTCTGTCTTTCTCATTTCTTTATCTTCTGTCTCTTTGTCATCGTTTTTGTTTCCTTCTTTCCTTCCTTCCTTCCTTCCTTCCTTCCTTCCTTCCTTCCTTCCTTCCTTCCTTCCTTCCTTCCTTCCTTCCTTATATGTTTCTTTCCTTCCTTATATTTTTCTTTCCTTCGTTCTGTCATTATTTCTGTTTGTATTTCTTTGACTCTTTCTTTCTTGCTTGCCGACTTGCCTGCTTTCTAGGTTTTTTTTTTCTCCATGGTTCGTCCGTCCGTTGGTTCGTTTGCGACGCAGGTGGGCGAGCGTGTGGTGCACATCAACGGGGTGCCAGTGTTCCAGCAAGCAGACTTTGAGAAGGTTCTGACAGGCGCGACTCAATGCTTTGCCAGTCGGCCATTGTGGCTCAAAACCAGTGGGATCCCATTTTGGTTGGTAGGTGAATTCACCACCAATTTTAGTCTATTTTAGTGGGGATTGGCATGTTCACTGGAGGTACAGGATTTTGACCTATGGCCATTTCAATTTGGGCGTGTCTACATCTAGCCGTTTCACTTGGACGAAGTCCTCAATCTGTGCATGCCCCAATGCACTCTGTGGCTCTTGACAAGATAGTGGAGGGTGGGTCCTAATTCTTGCAGGATCCATTGCTTCTTTGAAGAAGATACATATTGTTGATAATCTTTGTTCAGTAAAGTAGCTCAGGCATCCTTTACACACAGCTTTACCTACTCGAGCTACTGCATCTTCTTGAGAAACACTAGCATCATATTTATCTCGAGACTATGTTACAATATCTTTGGTAAAGGTATACCACACGAGATACATGAATGGAAGCTCCAACATCATAGCTTTGGAGATGGTTCATCTCTTACCATGGGAGATTGGAGCACAGTCTAGAAGATGAACACGCTGCGCATCAGAGGTTGGAACATCAAATCCATCTACTGCTGGAGTTTAGAACTCCAGATATTTTCTCCAGATATCTCTTCTTGAGAAGTTCCATGGTGTACGTCAATGATCTCGCAAGTGTCTTATGATGACATGGTGACTTGTTCTGCAAAACCGCTTGCAGAGGAGGTGCGTGTTTTGGTTTCAACGCTTCATGTGTGAATGCACACTTTGTGGTGCTTGCAGTTGTTGGATATTAGTGTTTCAATACCCAGTTGCCCAGTGGCGCCCTTTTTTCCTTTTTTTTGGGAAGGGTTCCCCTTTAGCCTCAACCAACCAGAAAAGGATGTCCTGTTTTCCCCATGGAAATCCACTGGGCATCTGAGAATAAGGCTTCATTCCGAGCTAAGGAGAGAGAGAGAGAGAGAGAGAGACAGAGAGAGAGAGAGAGAGAGATGGAGATGTGCGCAGCCCTGAAATATGGTACCGGTGGGAAAGAGGCAAGGATATGACCTCCCACCAATTTAAAATGGAACCTGACGTTCGGGGGAGGGGTCCTGGGTTGGACCGTTTCAGCTTTAAAGGGACACCCTGACAGCTTCCATGTTAAGTGGTGGGAGTGTAAATGTTTGGTTTTTTCAGCTGGCACTTTGACCTGTTGTGGTGTTGGACAACCGCGCTACTGTCACGGCCGATGTGGCAATATGGTTCAACCAGCGTTCACAGCTTCACTGCCCATCACCTGTCCACCTACAATTGGAATTTGACAGAAACCGCATTTGAAAACTACGAGATCTTCAGGCTGGGGGTCTGTGTGAATGCCAGTGTTCCGCTCAGACGTGTTGCTGATCTACTTCAATTTGTGCAAGGTAGCATTCGACAGTTCGCTTGTTGAGGGCAAATCGTTTGTTTTTCGTGCAGTCTTCCGACATGCAGCAAATGGGCATGGATGGTCATCGCAGAATTGAGACAATCGTACAGGCAAAGGAACTATGAGCATTGCCTCAAGGAAGCGAGGTATCAAGCGTAGTTGGCAAGCCATGGTCATCAGACTTGTTGTTTGGCTTTCTCCATGTTTGTTAGCCCCTGTGCACAGGACTTTAGCAATAAATAACGGGTTTAAGTTCACGCACGCGGATACGGGAGTGAACCAGTGAAAGGAATTGATGAAGGTGCCAAGCCTGTGGAAACAGCCTGAAGACTTGCCTTTTTCTTTATTATCATCACTTGTTCTATCTATATTTCTTTATGCTTTGGAATCTTTCTGTTTCTAGTTTCAGCATCTTGAAGAGTCCAGAGGTAGTTCTTGGACAATAGTAAATTCACATCATTCAAATACATAATATCAATCATATCATGTGTTTACGATGTGTACATACATAATACGTACTCGTACATATTACATATATATATATATATATATGTATGCATAGTATACAAACATACATACACGTTATATATATACATACATATGTTAGTGTATGTGGACTAAACAAACCCATGTACACATTTACATATTCATGTGTTGTTTTTGCTTGCTGTGGTTTGGTCTATCTCTCTCTCTCTCTATTGTTTTGTTTCAACTCGCTTGTTTGTATCTACCTGCAAGTTTGGCCAGCGATTACATGAACTATTTGGAGGCGCGACCACCATGTAGCAAATCCTTAGTCCCGAAATCCGATGCATAGCAGCCATGAGAACAAGTCGGCCCCTGGCACAATCCGCAGCTCAAATTCAAGTAAGTCACCCAGGATGTTTTTCTCTTTTGTGTTGGGTGTGCGACGAAACTCGGGTCTGGGGTGGTGTTGAAGGGAAGCCAGAAGGAGATCATTCCACAAGATTTCCGAGATTTGACGCACTGTCATTTGCTGAGTAGTTCACTTGAAGTGGTCCTTTTGAGAAATCTTTCACTTTGTGGGAGCAAATGTGCCGTGGTAAGGATTGCTGGCGAGGTCCATGGATCTGAACCGAGCGTACCAAGCTCACCTGGGGGTAAACTGAGCTCACGCGTGAAGCTCGATTACCCTGAGATTGCTTCTTTCCAGCGTATGAATAGTAATGTTGACCCCATATGAATCAACCCCAGTTTATCAATAGGGGGTGATTCTGGGCTTGGTGGGGAATCAGACCGCTTCTGGAGGGGCCAAAAAGAATCGCCCTATTCACAAACAGGTTGGTTGAAATTCATGGGGTCAACATGAATTATGCCCATGGACATTTGATAGGCGCCACCCTCCCATTCTCTTCAGGCATCCTTCTCTGCCAAAAACGGGCCAAACAATTCTGGACAATTGGTGGTGTCTAAAGAGAACGATGGGTTTTTCGAGAACGGGGAATCAAACCTGGGAGATTTGATAGGCGCCATGCGGGACTTCCACGTGACTGGACGCCCCATCACCCTCAGCACGGTGGATGCAACGCCGAAGCCTCGGAGCCAAGCCGAAGGAGCCGAAAAAGAATCGCCTCGAGGCTTGGAGATGGGTCCTTTCCCTTGACCAAATGGCAGTGGGTCAAAAATAGGTACCCAAAATGGTTTGCCCTGGTAAATGGAACCAAGCACTAAAACCTGCGGTCCCCTGGAGGTTTAATTTTGATACACAGCCAATTGGGTCTGGCTTTTTTCTAGGTACTCTTTCTTTTGTGGTTTTTAGTTGGAAACCAACAGGAGAACAGCCATGTTTGAGGGTCCCCGAAAGAAAGACAATCCCAAATGAAATCCGTGAGGAGGTGCTTTTTTGGATCCACGGCATGCAAGACAGTTTCCTGATCAAGAATGTAAAAATTGAGAGGTGGTGGGGCTCAGGACGTCTGCTCCCAAGCGGGTGTCAGAGAAAGAGTGGGGGGAACCGAATTCGGGTTGGTGATCCCTGTAAACACTACGCAAAAAGAGGTCCCTCGGTTTAGATATTTTAGGACTTAGGACAAGACGCAGTGATATTAATTGCCAATTTCTGGTTACCTCTTGCACACGTATGATTCTGTATGCTGATGACTCCCATGTGAAGTTGAGTGTCCTCCTCAGTGTGCCAATTTTGGGAGTTCACTCAAACCACTTCCATTGGAAAGAATCGCTGGTGCTCAGCAAAGAATGAGACATGGAATGACCCTGAAAAAACCATCCAACGGGTGGTTTCCTTTAAGGGGACCAAAGCTTGCATTCATTCCATTTCCCATTCCCTACCTCTCGCGCCGATCGCAAGAAGCGGGTACCCTACATCTGGCCTCATTATTCTACCATGATCAAAGTCACCCCCTAAGTGGTGGATTAAAGGGAAACCACATTATCTGACTTTGATACAGAAACAGCCAAAATCATGACCCCAGCTTCCCCAGAATTAGTTCCCCTTTTTACCTTTTTGCTTTTGTTGGGGCTCCCTTTGTTTTCCATGAACCAGGCAAACAACAATATGTGCTTTTGCGGTCCGACTTCCAGCCAGTACATGGCCCCCACACGAAGCAAGCTGAGGTCCAACGCCAGCAAGCCGGACCTGGCGAAGGAGAGCCGAGATGGCGCGCCTCGGCTGAGTACTTAAGGCGCGAGGGTGGGTCTACATATGGGTCCAAATTAAGCCACCAGGAGATGGACCGCAGGGTTTTGGTCCATGTTTCCATAGGGCAACCCATTTTGGGCACCTGTCTTTGAGGTCTAATGTTGACCCAGGATCTAAGTAGACCCGTCCCGTTGGGGACACTCCAAAAGTGGTCTGAATCCCCAC